TTTATTGTTTATAGTCATCTGTCTAATTCAGTCGGCTTGCCAGATAGTTAAAAAAAAAACTCCATACATTATTATCCTTTATTATATAAAATGATATATAATAAATATAATTTAATTAAATAATTTAACAAAATAACGAATAAGTTAATTGAAATACGCTGCAAACCAAACGTAAAAAATAATCAAGTTATTACATTTTTAATGCGATTTTGCATGAATAATAAATAATAAATTTAAATGTGTTAGGCCTATGTTATTATACAGTATTTACTATGGTTTAGTAATTTATATACTTTTTATTTTTGTACTATTTGTTAAACTTATATATAATAAATAATTTAACAAAATAGTACAAATAACGAATAAGTTAATTGAAATACGCCGCAAACCAAACGTAAATAAACACATTTTTAATACGATTTTGCAATTATACAACTTCATTTATTTTTATAAAAATATAGTACATAAAATTACATTTTTAATACGATTTTGCAATTATACAACTTCATATATTTTTATAAAAATGTAGTACATAAAAATATCAAAATTCTAATTTTCACACAATTTTTACACAATTATACATTACGAACGGCAATACGAACAAATCAACGACTGACAAGACTGTGGGATGAATATGTACAGTAGCTGGTATCCGGGGGGTTCATTAACTGATGACATCGGCAAGCCGACTACTGTACATTCACCGAGAAACGCACTACATTCACTGAGAGACGCGCTTGGCGTTCCATAGAAATTATCGGCGGCTCAACCGGTCATATCCCCAAGGACGACAGATGAAACAGAAAACTGAAAAGATTCCTTCTTGAATTGAAAAGACAAAGAAAACCAAGCACACAAGCCCATAGATACTGTACTATACTAGGCCTAGTCGTCCAACATAGAAGACATAATTCAGAATAAAATATTTTTTTATGAAATAAGTTTTTATTATTATTCGCCAACCAGCCACACCGAAACCCTAGGCCTAGATTCTGATGTGGGCGAGAAAGCTGTTTATCCAAACGCATAACGTTGGCATCGCGTCTTGTCTATAACACGCATGGCATAGGGCCCAGGCTTAGCTACTTACTTCGATGTAAATACTTTTGAACAGCTTATTTCATCATTTACATCACACATTGCAGTATAACCATCATTTCTTTCTTTCATATGTTCGACGTAGAGAGCATATACAGACAGAATAAGCCCTGCTAAACACAGAAAAATTCGAGAAAGACGATGCCATAAAGGCAAAGCTGCCTTACTGCTACAGCGTGTTGCCATTGCTACCGAATGTTGATGACTGATTGACACCAGAATACTGTACTGAATCAACCGATCAAACGGTATCACGGGATGATTGACAATGATAACAACTCTTGTTGTCGATGAGAAAACGAACACCTGACGGCATCACTCCTCATCATATGATATCATAATATTCTTTTGCATTGATCAATATGTTTTAATTCAATTTTTCACCACAGTATTTTCCGCAATAATATCTTTTCCTTTTTTAAAAATGAATTTCCACCTCTTATTATTTTCTTTTTCTTTTTTGTTTCAAACTTTACCATGGAAAAAAAAATACTTTGTAAAAAAGAAGGCTTTAATTTTGACATACATGTATATATTAGTTACCCGTATTTTATTTGAAATGTAATATATATTAAAGATGGAAAAATTAATGAAAACAATAAAAAAAAAAGAAGAGACAATAAAGGTGGGTGACTCCAACGAAAAACAAAAAAAATAATTTCTTTTCCAATCGACTGCTTTAATTGTTCTCTGGAGGAAAAAACAATTTTTAATATGTTCATGCATACATAGAGAAAGAAACTGATTTTTCTAAGACAGAAAAAAGTTGTCTGACAAAGAACTGGATTTTTGAATATTTAAAAACTGGGGGAAAAGGGGCATAACCACCCTTTTCCCCCCAGTTTTTAAATATTCAAAAATCTGTATCTCATTCACCGTTCCCCAGTTTTTCGTCAGACAAATTTTTTCTGTCTAGAAAAATCAGTGCTACAACATATAAAAATTGTTTTTCCTTCCGGAATCTGACTTTAGATTCATTGTTGTTTTGGCATTGTTAAAGATATACTATCCCTTGAAAATGACAAAATCATAAAAAATAATTTTGTATTTAACTTTCACAATTTGTAGTAACATACAAATTATTAACTTGAGCATAGACATACTGAATTTTAAAAATGTGTAACCTGATTTTGATACTGGATAATAATAAAAAATCTTTTTTTTAAAATAATAAAATACTTTGAGTGACTGAAAGTGTTTCCAGTGGCAGATTCAAGGGGGTGGGGGAAGATGGCCTCCTACCACCCCCCCCCCCCACCAAATTGTTCAACATTTTTTTTTAATTGAGATATTAAGGAAATTATATTCAAATTTTAAGTCTGAGAGTGCAATTTCCTGCCATCTGGTGGCGCATAATCACAAATTTTCTTAATTCAGGCTGGGGCTGAGGCAGTATCTGGAGAACCTCCATCTTGCCAGGCCCCTATTCTGAATTCCTGGATCCGTCACTGGTTTCTATCTTTAGCTGTAAAATTATTGGTAAACATTTTTAAATAGGCCTACACTACAGTAATTCCTATAGGCCTATTAGGCTACATGAAAATGAGCAAATAAAATAGGGCTCTATTTTGCATGGGACAATACACCTTTAAGATGGAAGATAAGATGTTATATAAAAAATATGTATATAGGCCTATATTAATAATAGTTTGAATAAGATATCTATACTTATATTTATATTGCAGTAAGACAATTTTGCAAACTTTGGATGGGCTTCTTTTTGAGGCTACTTTTGGAAAGTAAATAGGGGGCCTTTTTTCAAAATAGGCCTATATGCTGTACATTTTGGGAATTACTACTAAAAACAATAAATAGGGCCACTGTCAATCTGTAATCATTGAGTGTATTTTAGTACCTAAGTATTGTATAAACCAAGCATGTTTTAAATTTATTTTGTTTCTTTGAAATTCATGTACAGTGGATGTCCTGACTATTTCGAAAAGAAGCCCATGGGCTTCTTATTCCGGGACCCTCTTTGAGAGTGGTCATATAAAAGAATATTCGCTCACAAAACCTAAATCTCTGTTTAAACCATTTAATTAACATTAGATTTAAGACAGTGGAGTCAACGGATCTTCAAGCCTTAGTAGATTTGAAATTGGTGCCTAAGATTAAAAGCCTAAATCACAGATAGGATGGCTAGGTGAATTTAAGTGATCATTTTGATGGTCTTTAACTAATTTTTTATGGTTGTTAAGTTTGAGTTTACATACGGTTTCGCCTACATAATTGCCATTATTACATTTAGTTCAAAAATGACAAAATTTGGTAAACTGGGTTCGGCAAACCAAAATTCGGCCAACTAGGATTCGATGTTTTGGGTGACCAGGATTCAGCAAAGTGGCCTAAATTCGGCAAATCGGGTTTCGGCTAACTGGATTTTCGACCAATATTGACAACAAAAAACGAACACACACAAAGCTTGGATGTAATCTTATTACTCTCTCTTTGTTTATTTTTCAAAACGTAAAAAAAATGCATAAATATGATTACATTTTCACACTTCAAATTCTTGTAAAATGAAATAAATCACATTAACCGTCAATCAACGGAATTTTTTTTCAGTTTTATTAATACATGTTATACAATATTCAAATTTAGTTGAGCATCACTGATGAAAATACAACTAGAAATTATTATATAGAGTAATGCAGAACAACAAGGCATTCATTATTATCAACATTTCCAAAATGGATACAAGTCTAGAGCCTGAGGGTTGGGAAGTGGTTAGGTATGAAGTGGGTACAGTATGGTTTGGTATGGTGTAGGCTTAGATGTTGGGGAGGGTAGGGGAAGGAAGAGATGGATATACAGTAACGGAAGTACACTTTACTGCACTGCACAAAAATGTGTATAATACTGAATGCACTCCTGTCTATGGCAACATAATTAGGTTAAAAAAGTTTTAATTTCCATAAAAAAAATGCTCATCTAATGGCAATCATTGTCAATTTAACACAGCACAAACTATTTAATTTACTATATATTCACAAAAGAAAAATTCATTGAAAAATATTACAAAATCTGATATAAATTGATATAAAAGAGTAATATATAATTATACAATTACTAATATATAATTATATAATTAGCAGCATTACACTTAGTATAGGTGCATAGTTGCTGTCTCTTATACACATCTAGATGTGTATAAGAGACAGCTACAGTAATTCCTATAGGCCTATTAGGCTACATGAAAATGAGCAAATAAAATAGGGCTCTATTTTGCATGGGACAATACACCTTTAAGATGGAAGATAAGATGTTATATAAAAAATATGTATATAGGCCTATATTAATAATAGTTTGAATAAGATATCTATACTTATATTTATATTGCAGTAAGACAATTTTGCAAACTTTGGATGGGCTTCTTTTTGAGGCTACTTTTGGAAAGTAAATAGGGGGCCTTTTTTCAAAATAGGCCTATATGCTGTACATTTTGGGAATTACTACTAAAAACAATAAATAGGGCCACTGTCAATCTGTAATCATTGAGTGTATTTAATTAACAATTTCTCATTAAAATAAATTGGAAACTTCCCTTCCATTATGACATTTAACATAAAAAGTACAAATTATATTATCTGATATAACATTCAAAAGTTTAACCAAGCTTCAATTCCAGGCCACACTTGATATGCACAGATGAAATTCATAACGGAATGTTAACAATTATTGAATTAATACACTTCCTTGTACTTCTTTTATAACAATATTCACTTTATGTATGGAAGCTATGATTCCACAATTGTGGCAAAGACAATTCAAACCAGTCACTCGTCGCAAAAATCGATTTTGAGTTATTAATACAGTGTTAGAGAGTAAAATAATAGCTATAAAATGGTAAAAAAATCATTAGAATCGGACATTTCCTTATGAAGTTGCAAGCGTTTAAACACACAGCTGTTTAAAGAACAATTTATGAGAAATCAGCCTTCAAAGTTTATGATTTCACGCATTTCTCATGCAGAAACTATCTTTAAATCCTTAAAAAGTGTTGTTTTAACATTGAAAATGGGGAAAATAACAGCATAGAATGATGTATAGATATATAAAGGTTAGTTCAGTGCAACAAAATAGATTTTTAAAAATTTGACATTCCAGCATGTTTTGGCCATTTTCTCTATAACACGATTTGCGACGAGTGACTGGTTTGGCTTGCCTTTGCCACAATTAATGAACCTTTGAACTAAAATAAAATTAAATCATTTTTTACATTTTTAAAAATTGTTCATTCACGAAAAAAACTATTTATTTTCACAACAAAGAGCATTTGCTAAAAAATAAAACGTCATTAGATTATCAACACCTAACTTTGAAGTCAATTACTATGGTACACACCAATCTCCTAAAATATACTGTAACAAAAGTACTGAACAGTACACTAAGTTTGAGTCAGAATGTGATAATGAATAAATATACAATAATAATAATAATTATTATTATTATTGTATTTAATAAAGATATATAACCTTTGATAAATTTGAAAAAAATACCCCAGTTCTATATATATATAAAAAAAAATAAATTAAAGGGTTTGCATGAAATATAGGGCACCTATGCATTTTTTAATTAATGGGGAAATCATCAAGCTGATAACTTACTTAAATACTAAGTAAAGTAGTTCAAATATTGCATTATATTTTTTGAAGTTTTTTTCTTTCTCAACAGTACATCTTTCTTATTTAGATTTACAGTAGCACCAGTGGCAGCATACAGCTCTGTCCACAATATCAAATAACTATTGTATGCCCATATATAGTATATGATATGCCCATATATAGTCATGATGTGCCTATATATGGTCATGATGTGATGTCATCATGACCATATTTATGTCACATGTTTTTGTCAAACAGATATTTTGGACAGGGCTTAAGCAAAGACACCATTACCATTAGATGCCACTTGAGATTGTCAGACTAATATTCATTTGCAAATCAAAAATAAGTTGTTCTGATTACAGTTCCTGGTATTGTGGTCTAAAAGAGAAAAATTTCTAGCATCCTAAACAGTTAAACTATGTCCCTTCACCCTAACAAGGCATTTTTACTCTGGGTCAATAAGTGGATGCCCTACATGCTTTCTTTAGAGCAAATTTCAAGGCTTGTGGGACCCCTTGTTGAAAAATTTCTAGAGCCTCTATTGTAAACAGTATATAAAAGCATTCATCTTGTTATATGTGCTCATACTTTACAGTTTGTTTGTGGCTATAAGTCAATCACAATAAAAGATTAATGACTTTTAATACATACCTTAATTAGTGAAGGTAATTACTAATCAAGTCTCCCTCTAATTAATGATCCCCTTCAACTAAAAACAAACCACTTCGTGGTCTCAAATTAACAGATGTCTTTTATATTCTTTATTCTAATTAGAGACCAAAAAACTACTAAAAAAAGACCATGGAGGGAGGCCTGTAATTACAAATTGTAACTAATATGCAGTTTTTTATGAGAATGTAATACAATGCAACTAAAATTTAATTCCTCTCTACTGGTATATTATCATAGAGGTCTCTTCCTGATAAATTATACTATCTTCAATATTGTCAAGTTTCAAGGATATAATTGTTATTATCAAACTTCAAGAATAATTTATCAAGGCAACCAGTAATTACCATTTAAGCTTGCAACCACACTAGATTTTAGACAATTTTATAACTTCACCTAACAATAATATAGAGCACCCTCTATGGTGGAATATATCACCTTAATTTACAGTACTAACCTTGCTTGTAGTTGCACACACTTTGAATATGGCTTCAAATCATTTCACACATTTATGATTTGAATTGTCTTGTACTTTTTAATATATGGCATAAATTTTTAAAAATTGTCAATAAATTACATTTTTGTAACCATCAGTCAAACATTACTGTACAAAATCAAACAATTTGCAAAAGTAATGTCATTATTAATTAATAATATAAACAAGTTCTATATAATACAAAGAAAGCACATTATATACTGCTGGAAATGATACATTTTAAGGAACAGGACAACTTTTTTTTTTTAACCTTTAATGTAGAAATTGGAGAGTAAACCAAAGCAAACCTAATACAGCATAATATTTGCGTGGAATGTTGCCATATGTTAAACTTCATTTTTGTGTAATTTAGATCGAAGATGCCAAATAACTGTTGCAATATGTAATGGCTAAAGCATATTGTATAACATTTACAATATTCATCAATGGCAAGCATACATATTTAAATTGTTTGGTTACACTTATGCATTCACACAGGCTTGTCCGTGCATGCCTGGATGAACATATACTCTCATGAGTCTACACTCTCATGTGTCCAAACTATGATGTCTACACACTTGTGTCCGCACACAATGCCATGCATCCACACACAGTAATGTTAGCATGCCTGCATGAACACATTATGCATCCACACACTTACGTGTGCATACTCCCATGAGTCTACACTCTCATATGTGTATACTCTGATGTGTCCACACTCTGATGTCTACACACTCTTGTGACCACACACTTGTGTCCGCACACAAAGCCATGTATCCACACACAGTAATGGTACATACAGCATTTTTCTTCCTACACACACCCTCAATTGCAATCACTCGCACATAGGTTTTCATGTGAAACTTTGTATGTCACAGGAATGATACAAGCTATGTTAGATCCTTAAAACTTTGGCAACAGTTCTCATAAAAATCTTGGCAGAAATAGTTATTCAGTATCAATCAGGCACATATTATACATACCCTATATATAGGGTGTGTGGTTCAAGGTTGAAAGATTACAGGAGCAGCAGAAAGCCACTTTGAATAAGAAGCAGTACATATTCTTTATAAGACACTTTTTAGCAGGAAGTGATCCTTCAAGGTTACAATTTATACCACCATGCAATAATTAACAAATGTTAATAAAGGCTTTGGTCTCTGAATCAAATTAATGACCCACAGGATAAACAATATAACAACCCAATCCAACCATGATCCAACTAATACCTCTATCTCGCCAGAGAAATGTATTATCTTAAGAAAATCTGCGCTCAAGTAATAACAATAATAATGATATGTCACTCTTATACCTTATAGAGCCCTATGCCAGCCAATGGATTCAAACACATGAAACACACAACTGAGATCTCTTCAACTGGTAATTAAACACATTGGCTTTTGAAGCTATCAGAAACACTAACTTCTGGGTGGAGACAGTCAACAGAGACAGAGTACAGTACTTCGCCCAGACAAATGCTCAGCCTCAGAATCGAACCTCTGATCTTTTGATTGGAAGCCTGGCATCTTACCACTGTGTCACGTTTTTACTCGCACTGCATTACCTGAAACTGTGATAGTGCTGTTTGTCACCAATTGGACATCACTATTATTAGGTCAAGTTTAAGGTCAAAGTGATGTGTAGAAATTGGGTAGTAGTCTTGCTGTTGGGAAGAGTTCTTCATTACCACTGGCTTGATGCGTAGCAATGTCCGAGTGAGGTCTTGCATTCGGTCAAAGTACCTGTATACCACTGGCTACCTGGTTGGGGTAAACATGATGTGGAATGTGCATTGCTGTTGAGTTGCTTGATAAGTTGTCACCAAAACCAGTCACCATCTGTTGCATATGTTTCTGTTGTAACTGTTGACACTTCTGTTCCCTATAGTTAGTAAATAATAATAATAATAATAATAATTTGGATTTGTAAAGCGCATAATACATAGGTCTCTATGCGCTAAAGAGATATGGAAATAACTGACTTTAAAATATGGAACCATAATACAAATATAAATAAGATCAATGGATGGTGTAGTTCAAATATAAATAAGATCAATGGATGGTGTAGTTTAAAATTTCCTTTGCTATTATACACTATACAATTTTATGGGACAAATACATACTGAATTGCCCATATATAGGTATGCTAAATGGCATCCATTTCGCCCACGAACCAGTTTGGCTGCGATGTATTTAATATCTTAATATCCAGAAAATCAGGAAATTAAGTGTTTTTTGTTTGTCTTATTAAAATATACAATATATTTGCTTTAGAAATAAATAAAGGCTTATCATATCAGTTACCACTGGGAATTTTAAGTTTGTTAAACTTATAATCAAGTATTCTATTGGTTGTTGTTTATATAGATTCATTATTGATGTTTTTTTTTTATATATAAAACACCAACTGAATAAAAACAAATATTGTGACCAAGGATTATTATTACCTTTTTTTTTAAAAATTGTCAGAGGAGGGCAGAAAACAGAATAAAATAAAATTCTTTTACCAAACACATCCAGACAAAGGAGAAAATTAAAATAAAATTTTATTGTTGAATGTAAACAGTGTAGTAATAGGATAGTCAAATGCTTTAAATTTATATAATTATTAGAAGGAAATATATGTATCATATTTTTGGAGATTACGAGGCAGCGGCGGGCATAATAAAAATAAAGAAAAACTTTTCCTTGTGGTAGCATGGTAGTGCACCAATTGACCAAAAATAAAATTGTAGTTTTATTCGAAATCATCATTATTGGCAAGCGGCGGGTTCCCTAAATAAGGTATAAAATACGTCTTGCCTTAGTATGTGTTGTATTATTTTTAGAACAAAATGATGGTTACATTTTTGGACTAATTATCAAGAATGTAAGAAGATATATATACTTTTTTATGCCAAAGTCTCAAAGCGCTTGAGCTGTGGACTACTCGTACAGTAACTTGGTTTTCCCCTAAGGGTTTCTTGATGTCTGAGCTACCTGGTAAATTGGTACAAGCTGCTACTCTCATCTTGTATTAAGGGTACTATTATAATAATTATATTACCCTCATCATTATCAGCAATACTACGGTATCAGCACAAATAAATTATTAAAGGACTGCTAGCAGTTATTGTTTTATATAATGTCTGCATAATGTCTGTAACAGCGTACCTTCTTTTATTAAAATATATCCGAAAAAAATCACAGCTTCATGAATCACATGGATTTGAATTAAAATTGTGTGCTGGAGTACTCAGGACCAAGCTGCATCTTCAGGGTTGTAGCTGTAGAAAACTATGGGTGGGTGACATTTTAAGGGTAAGTGGGTGATTATATTGGTAAACTCTAAATTATAAATAAGAATGGATTTTAAGGATGAAAAAGTGGGTTAATAAGGATGGGTGGAGGGCCATAAAATTAGCTTTAGACTGGATGGAAAACATCAATACTGGGTGGCCCCACCCACCATAACTACATCCCTGCATCTCCACTACTGTACTGTATACTCAGTTTATATTACATTTGTTTCTTCATTTGCTAACTCAATCAAACATACAAACCTGAGTTTATTTAGTTTTTCCAGCCACATCATATGTTCTGCCTCTAACCTTGAATTCTTTTCTTCCTCAGCGCGTAACTCTGCATCTGTGTACTGTGAAGTCATGTGACACTCCATCTTTAGCTGCTCAATATACTCAACAGCTATAAAGACAAATTTTGGAAGATTTAAAAATTGTCAAAATGGCTGGTCTACATACACAAATATAAAGAAATAACTATAAACCAATACATTAGGTTATTCACTGTTTGTTATTTGAATATCTGTCAATGTTTCTCCAAACGCCTATTCCAATTATAAACAGTTGCTGGCAGTCATTCCTTATCAAAATAACAACCAAATTGACCTTTGACTTTGTTTAAATGATTCAGTAGCTTCCAGACTTCATTCAATCTACTTAAATTAAAGTGAAAAAATCAGTTCCCTTAGAAATTATTTTAGCTCACTTTAAATGCATCAATATATTTACAATGTGCGACACAAATTGTCACTTTGTGGAAGAAACAAACTGAAAATAAAGACAAATGTATGAAGTAAGACCAGAAAGACGTATTGAGCATGACACAAAGTGCAATTAATTTCATGGTGTGCTGTTCTTTCAAACTTTGAGAAGTACCCAATACACCGAATTACAGTAGTCACCAAAGAGAGTGCATACAGTATCACATTTTGACCGAGTGGGTATTAAAGTTGTTTTGAGAGGCCTTCTAGGGGGCCTAGGCCAATCGCTTGCAGGACTCATCAAATCCAGCGCTGACTCAATATGTTGATTAAGAGGTACTCTAAATCATTGTTTAAATCACTGCTATGTCACCTACTAGAGGTAATGTTTTGATTGGTTAAACACTTTTGGTACTAGTGCATATAAACTTGCTAATATGGATATATTTTCATTCCTGATGATGATATAATTAATGTCGAAATATTGAATCCCAACATGATGGCGTGTAAATCAATACTTGGAGTATGTATTATACTTTCTTATCTGAGTAAACAGTGGACCTTTCGGTTAGAGGTACTCATTGAGCTTAAATAATGTACTGCCATCAAGTCATATTGTTGCAATTTCTGTATGAAATATTTAAACTATTATACAAACTTAAATTGCTGAATTGTAGAATAAGATGTTTCTTTTGACTACGATGGCCAGTGAGTCAATATTTAAAAAATCAACATTACCCTTTTTAATTAAAAATGACTTGGTGTAAACAAATCAATAATGATATTGTGACAATTGTCTATATTTTCTCACAAATTTGCATACAGTATTTTAATAAATTATAGTTGGAATTTTAATTATGTATGTTATACGTATTTATATGTTATGTACAGTATGTATGTCCTTGTATTTGTTTATATAATTTATTTTTTAAGATTGATTTTGTAAATTGACTCAATTCAGTTTTGAACTGCAATGTCACATTTTAAATAAAATCCAGAATAAATGAAAGAGTCAGAAGAACGTTGTTCTAGCCTAGAGACGAGGCCTGTGTTCACACGACGAGGCTATGCGAACATGTTCAAGTTTTCCATCTGTTTATTTCACTCCATTTAAAATCTAACGGGTCAAAATTCTGACGTTTATTAAAGAAATATTTACCAAAGCTTTTCAAAAAGTTATTTTACGATAAAAAAAATTGACAAATAAATTAGTTCGTAGAGTTTTAAAACTGTCGAAATTTATTTGAGTGGAGGCATATTATTGTGTGAAAAAACTGCCCCCTAGCTGTTTGTTTTGATTTTATATCCACTATAATGGGAGTAAGTTTGCTATGTCACAAAAACCGTGCCTAGGCTGAAGTCTTAATGACTTTGAATGAATTAAGAAAGTGATGTGGCATAGATAAATGAAAGGTAGAAATTTTGAAGAGGTAAGATTATGGTAGGCATAGTACAATTAGTAAAAACATTGCATAGGCCCCTGTGAATCATGAGGCTAGCCTGCAATAGCACAACTGTCACCAAATAGTTTTTAAAAGTTTATAGTTTCAAGCTACTATTACTGTAGTTCTTGTGGAAATTATTGAAGGCTTTCTTTTTGCGATTGTTTATATATAGACAATGCATCACTTAGGGAGTGGTTAGTTTTAATACCTTCTTGGTTCAACAGTGATATATAACGTTTGCAAGCAGCGGTGCAGACTAATATGTATGAGAATAAACAGTTCATAAGCTAAACATTTACTAGTATACGGTATACAAGGTGTAATGGTAAACAAATAAAAAAACAAATAAGCTTTTTTCCCCCAAAGAATTTCAAGAATCAAGTGACTCACCACACTTGAGTATAGTTTGCCTATGAACAGCTTTACGATTCTCCACATTCAATCCTGGAATAAGCTTCTTTAAGTCCTCAAACCTCTGCTGCACCTCAACACGTCGCTCCTTCTCGGTGATCTTTTTCCGTGCCCTACGAATGTGTACCTTGTATTGATCGTGTAACGTACTGTTGTATTCGGGTTTAGCTGGCAGTTCGTTTGACAGGGTTGGAAGACTGTCATTTTGGCCAGTTGGAGATGGGCTAATTGTCGGACTGCAAAAACTGCTTACACTTGATTGGTCAGATATTTCCCCAGTATTCATTGTGTCCGTATCTTAGGCACATGGTTGTTTTGACAATGCTCTTTTAATACTTTTACCGGGAAGTTTTGTATTTTATCAATGCTACGACATCAAGCTCTGCATCCCATATTCCCCATGAAGGTACTGTTGTAGTTTCCCTGTCTAAAAAAATGAACATTAATATTGTTTATACTGTATTCAAATGTTTTGGCATTCAGGGATGTTAAATAATTTGACATTTATCTATATTCTGTTTTCATGTAAAGTGCATTGAGAGCTTTCTTATAGATGTGCTATATTAGAATGAACTATTATTATTATTATTGTTCCATACATCATAAATGGTAACTTACAGAATAGACTTTGACAAATTATTGCCCAAATATGCAAATCAAAAATAGGACTAATGATTTGAAATAGATTGTGGATGAATAAACAATAGATAAAGGCCTGTCAGGGGAATACAGGAAAGTAAACTAATAAAATTAACAATAACAGAAAATAATAACATTCTAAAACTTTAACACAGACATTAAATTTAAGTATTAACTATTATAATGTCATAAATGAAAAATAAAAGGGCAGGGTACTAAGTTCAAAGAAATCCCTTCTGGGAGATCTGGTTAAATGAGTTTATTTTGCTGCGGATGATACCCATCGGTACTGACTTCCGCGAGACAATTGGTAATGAATAAAAACATGCTTATACTATGAATTTGCGGGAGATGGGTCAATTTCCGGGAGATTCTTACTTGCTTGCGGGAGTGCGGGAGGCCGTCTAAATTTCTTGGAGACTCCCATAACTTTCAGGATACTTGGGACCCCTGAAAATGGTGAAAACTATTTCTATATGCCTTCTTGGTTAAGCAAAATCCTCTTTAATATAGTCTTATTTTAGTCATATTCTACTATTTATTGTGTTACTTACATATAGACCTAGGCCAATCCTATGCTGGGCTCACTCTAATATTTTTTATGTTTAGCCAATTGTCTAAAGTCAACAATTTTTTTTAGCCAATTGAAGCTCTCTTTAGCTAAAATTTGATGAAAACTGTTAAAAATCATTAGCCTTCTTGCTGACAGGCAGGAGGTCCAACATATTTGACAGTGGAGTCCAAACCAAGGGGCCGACTAGAGTCTTGCCGAGATGTACAAGGGCGGGGGGGTGTGTGTGGTGATCGAGACAACACTACTCTAGGGGGATCCTACAGTACAGTATTTTTGTTTTTCAAACCGATTATTAACAACAATACTAGGCCTAGGATATGCTCTTTCAACCACCATCACATCGCATCGGCCATCGTGTTTTATTGAAAAGCCTATGCTACTGGGTACAGTACCTTCATATTAGTCTACATCATACTGCCGCTGCCCTGCATCTACCGCGTTAAAATAAAAATTACAAATAAAAAATAACTTGCAAGGCACACAATGATGTTTGCAGCAAGACTACTCATACAACAACACAAATGAGCGTCGTATGGAGGTAGCGAAATATGGAGCTCAAATGAAAAAAAAAACTGATGTATTTTAGCAAGTATTTAAAACTATTTTTGATTTTAGGCTTTCGTCAAAATGGCTAAAGCAGTTGATTTTTTTTTCAATAATCCAACATAGTTTTTCGCCCATGGCAACTTGGTGATCGGTTAGCGTGAGCCCAGCTATTTACTGTATACCAGGTGAACCACCACACAGTTTCTGGACAAAACGGCAATAAACCAAAACGGCAATAAGTCAAACAGCAATGACCAAAACGGCAAAAAACCAAAACGGCAACACTTTTTGACAAGAATGGCAATAGACCAAAACGGCAACACTGAAACGATGCAAAACAACTTATGTCATAAAAGTAAAAACGCAAACAAATAAACTAATTTTTAACATGAATGTGTACTGCGATTAAATACGGTAAGAATGTGGCTAATAGCAGCAGCAGCAATAAATATATCATTAACAATAATAATAATATCAATAATATTATTAAATAATAATAATAATATTTCATACAAATTCAATATTAAAAAGATTGGGGGAAACAATATAAAAGCAGTAAAAAATTACTCATGGCCGAATTGACTTGTGGCCGAGTTGACTTGTGGCCGAGTTGACTTGTGGCCGAGTTGACTGTGGCCCAGTTGATTTGTGGCCGAGTTGACCTGCACCCTACTAGGCCCTACTTAAATACGGTACTAGTCTAGCCTAGGTAGGTGCCTACTACTACTATTATAAACCCACGCCTACAGCAGTTGGTCCTGGCCTGGCTGGCCTTCGTAGGCCTAGCCTTGGTTCACTTCTTTCTATTTGTGAGTGAGGAAAAGCTGCAGTATATTTTATCCAATCCCAGGTCACAACCCAAACTCAAATCAAAAATATTGTGCCTACCGCCTACCTTAAAATATCATCAAAACTCAGGTTGCTTTACGTCTACCACCAGAAAAGTGGACGACAGGTGCATGAGAATCGGAAAGCGTGCTTCGCCAAAACAGAACAAAGAAGTCACAAGTCAATATTCCTTTTGTTTGTACACACCCTACTCAACCCACTGCAACTTTTTGGTTCCTTTGTTGTTGGTGTACAGGGATGTCCAAAATGGCGAAAATAGGAATGATGGGAGTAAGCGTGTAGTAAACACGCCGCTGATTGGTTAAAATTGATTGAGGAGCAGGTAATCTATTTTTAGATTGAAACGGAGTTCCTATAAATCCAAGTTTGTGTTTTCGTACGAAACAAAACAGTAGGTGTTCTAGTGTAACATAACACTTTCCGTGATTTTAAGTAATATACTATATGCTAATTATCTGTTTTTAACTTTACTTATATACAGTCTGTCTCTTATACACATCTAGATGTGTATAAGTGGTAGGACGGCCCTGTGATGAATTAAAATGTACGTAATCATCAATAGAAATATCATGTGTATATGATGTGTTAAACTGAGTATGTAAACAAGCAAACTCAAAAACTGAATAATAATAATGAATACCGTAGCCATATTGTAAAGTTTTTTAATTGCGTGGATGATACCTAAAAAATTTCCTCAAATTTGCTTGGAAAATCGCTAGGAAAATAGGTTCGCAGAATCGTAGTGCATAATACATCATTGTATATTTAAAAGATTAGGTCAAAGCTTAATTTTTTGAAAAATCTGCACGGAAATCAGCCCTTAGTTTTCGAAATGCGCGGACGGATTTCTAGGCCTAATTTTTGCGTGGAGAATGTGTTGCCCATGTACTCTAGGCCATACTTTACAGTCTAGTACCGTAGTATTTACATGCCTCCTGTACATTACATGCCCTAACAGTGCCCTCATATGGGAATAATAAACTATCTTTATTATATAGACTCATTCCTATTTGTTAAAAAAAAAATATAATGAGTCATATTAAATGTTAATTAGTTTGGATTATATCTTTTTATTTACAGTACTGACATCATGTGTGTTCAATAATTTTTTATATTTTTTGCTGAATTTTATTACAATCTATCTTTCCAGGAGCTTATGGAGTTGTATGTTCTGCTATTAACAAAAAATCAGGAATTAAAGTCGCAATTAAGAAAATTCCAAATGCGTTCTGTGAAGAGACAATAGCAAAGCGGACATATCGGGAAATCCGTATCCTTAGACACTTCCGACATGAGAACATCATTGCAATTCGTGAAATATTAAACATCAGAGGTTCGGTTACGGATTTCAAGGATGTTTACGTGGTGCTGGATTTAATGGAAAGTGATCTTCACCAAATTATTCATTCTAAGCAAACTTTTTCTGAAGAGCATGTTAGATATTTTCTCTACCAACTTTTGCGAGGTTTAAAATATATTCACTCTGCAAATGTTATACATCGTGACCTAAAACCAAGCAACCTGCTTGTGAATGGCAACTGTGAACTAAAGATTGGAGATTTTGGAATGGCAAGGGGTGTTTCATTTGCGCAGGACCATAAGCGTCAGATGCGGATGACAAATTATGTTGCTACAAGGTGGTATAGAGCTCCAGAACTCCTTTTTCCTATGGAGCATTATGTAAAATCAGTGGATATGTGGTCAGTTGGATGCATTTTGGCAGAGATGATTGGCCGGAAGCAGATATTCCCAGGAAAGAACCTTATAGATCAGCTAACCTTAGTAACTCAAGTACTCGGCCTTCCACCAGATAGTATGTTACAATCTTGTCACAGCGATCAGATCTTCAATTTCTTTCACAAAAATTATGGTCACATGAAACCTATTGACTGGAAAACCAAGTATCCAACTGCTGATTCGCAAGCTCTCAACCTGTTATCAAAGATGCTGATGTACAATCCAGAGGAGAGAGTGACATCGTCTGATGCTCTGAAGCACCCGTACTTGGCCAAGTATCATGATCCACTTGATGAACCCCTCTGTTTTCCACAATTTGATTTCTCTTTTGAGAATGAGAAGATGGACAAGGAACAAGTTCGTGGCAAAGTTATTAAAATAATTGAGAAGTATCATAGACATAAGAAAACGGCGTCAAAAGTGCCTTTGGGATCTTTTATGAAGCCCACTCAAAGGGTTTGTGGTTCTGTTTCCAACCAGAAAGGAATAATTAATGTTTCACAACCAGGGCTATTTATACCACATACTGTGGTAGAAAACCTACAAAATACCAGAGAGACTTTAACTCAGTCTTTGGCACAAGGTGAAACTGATAAACAAGCATCTTCAGTTGAAGGTAAGGGAACAGGAACAATTAACGCTCCACAGATAAACATCCAGAATACCGCACAGGATTCTGAACCTATCATTGTCAATGGGGAAGATTCAAAAAGAGGTTTGCTTGTTGCAACCCAGCAAAATACTACAGATGTGGAAATGAAGAGTGCATTGTCTGTGTGTGGCAGTGCTCAGATTAGCAGCCAGGAAATCACCTCAAATGGTTCCCACAAGAATTCTCTACTACCACAAGAGTCTTCAGATGTTGTTATGCGAAGTGCATCACGAGAGGATTCAATTTCGGAGTTACCCCAGCAGCAAGTAGCTGACCTTCAGAATCTTAATGCCAAAGCAGTATCTGGTGATGTGGCCATGAAGAGTGCGAAAGACAGTGGTGATGTTTGCATACCCAAGGTACAAGGCCCACAGATAAATACTGAGAACTCACAGAAAACCATCTCGACAGATACAAAAGCTCTCATCAAGGCAGCTCTGTTGAATGCAGCACATCGAAACAAGATGCAAGCTTCTAAAACAGGTACTGTACAGTATGTTACAAATTTACTATGTATCTGGGACAATGAGGTTCGAATAATTTTAAAAGTCAATTCATATAATATGAACGATGGAAGACAAGTCTTAAAATAGAGTAACAAAGATTCATAGCGCTATTCAAAATTCATCATGGGCACTAAGGGAGGAAAAAACAAGTTAATAGCATTCTTGATATAATAGATTTTACAACATTCAACCCTATGGCATTAAATAACAATGATGTTTATGTAATTGATGCTGATTGTGATATTGGAAATGAGGATGATATTTATGATATTAATATGTTTTTTATAGTAAATATTGATGATGCTGATGGTAATGGTGAAAGAATGGTGATGATGATATTGATGACAGTGGCAGATTGAAGGATGCCCTGCCGGCCAAGGCCCCACCTCCTGAATTGTTCTAAATTTATGATAAATCACAATTTTTTAACTCACCCCCAACTGTGGTGGTGTAGACCCTCCATTTGTGGAAGTCCCTCTCTGGACCCCTCAATTTGAATTCCTGGATCGACCACTGGATGATGATCATTGATGTTTGTATGTAGGATGGTAAAGTTGTGTGAATTATATACAGTGCTCTGTTTTGTGTGGTTAATGACTACTGTAAAAGTGCTACATATTAGTCCTAATTTATTGGTGACTATTTTGCTTCAGATTTAACAAAAACTGATCCCAAGGCAGCACCAGTTGGAGGACGCAAGATGTCAGTGAAAGCATGGGAACGACAGAAGGAAAGAGAAGAGAAAAGAAAAAATAAGTTAAAGAAAGCTACTGAAAGACAGAAGAAAATGAAAGCTAAAAATAAGCAACAAGAAAACCAGGGACTGTTCCTCACACAGGAAGACCGAGACATGCTGGAGAGATGGAACAAAATGAGGGCGTCTGCACAGGAGAGTAAAGACACAGGATCTGTAAGCATCAAGCAATGGAAGTCTGAACCAAACATTCAAAACTCAATCAAATCAAAGATGCAAGGCCATCAGCCACAAGGCAATACAAACTCTGTTAAGTCCTTAGTTAATCCTTCAACATCAGGCTTGCAAGGTACAGGAGGATTTGGGAATAAGGATACAAATGGGCCAGCAACGTTTGTTCTTGCAGGCCAGGGCCAGGCACAATGTGGCCAACAAGTGCAGATTAAACTCACCCAACCTACAACATTTGTTATTAAAAATACAGCTAATATGGCACCAAATAGTAGAGTGAAGGTTCGTCAAAATCTTAAGCCTATAGCACCCAAGCAAGAACACAAGCCGCAGTGTGCTAACATCCAGAGCCAGAATACACGTCAAGGAACAAATCTTTTCAACCAGGTGCCTGTAGTGGCCTCTGATGTCAAGCAACCAGCATCCAGTCAAAACCTTCCAAATATTGACCAAGGACAAATGCATACATTCTCTTCTACAGATATGCTCAATGACATGAAACCATCTGCAGTACCTCCAAATGAGGCACTATCTCCACATTACCAGAGTCCTGGTAGTTGTTCTCCTTCATTTGCCCAGCATGGCTCGCCACCAACTTATGAGGAAGCATTGGAAGCCAAGCAGAAGCCCCCTACAAAGATGTCGCCACTGTTACGTGATGAATTTTTAATGGCTAGTGATTCTTTTGGCGCTTCCACAAAAGTGTCTGCTCCAGATCTCTTCAAAAATGTTGTTCCGCCAGCTGGGTTTTACAAGGACCCAAATTCTCCTCCAGACATTGCATCTGTTACACACCAATTATCAAAGTCGGGTATGATCGATGTTCTCCCTCCATTACTACAACTAACACCAAGAGGTGATGGAGCAGGGTACGGGTTGACTATGGACTTAGAGGAACTACTCAATCAGTCTCTTGATATGCAACCCCCTCTATCGACTGGGTAAGTACATTTGCAGGAAGTATTTAATAACTTGGGTTAATCCATATTTGTGATCATTCTTACAAAAAAAGACAAAATATATACACTTTTTCTATGACCCCTCTGCTACCAATGTTGAATACACAATAATAAATTAATTGTTTTCTTATTATTAAAAATGTACGCATACTGTATGTGTTCTAAGTAACAATTTTGTAATGGCTCCGAAATTATAAATAAAACCAATGTTAATTATTTAGGGTTGAATCTGATCAACACTTGAGTGGTAAGAACACTGCCTTTAAAGTAATAAGAAAGGTTAATAGTGGAATAAAATTTTGTATAGTTTCAGTATTTTGAAGCTCCTGGCCTCAACACTTATTCGTAGTCATTATGACTAGGGTTGTAGTATGGTATTCTGGTTTAAAAGAAGCCGTGAAAAATTAATGTCAGATTGCTCAGAATACAGTAAGCTCATACAGTACTTTCGTACAGTTTTAGGGACTACAGTGAAAATAAATCAGCCATTTGCCTACTTTATTGTATTTTTCATCCCAGAATTCTGTTACTGGTCTTTTTTGTATATGTATTGTTGTGGCTATATGAATTCTAAATAATAAAAGAAAAGAAAAAAAAACATTAAATTGAAACCTACTGTACAGTTATAGTTCAGTAATACAAAGTCAGCAATTCAAATTACCATCATTGCTATCATTTACTGTACTGTATTTACAATTAAATGGGTTGGTGGGGGGGGGGGGGTGTGAAAGAGAAGCTATTGTTAACAATGTTTACTTCAATGAAACATACAGTAATTTATTTTTGTTTCTACTTGCATCTGAATAATTATCTCTTCTATTTTGTCTTTCAAGCAAATGTGAATCCGGTCCTCTATCAGCCTCTCTGCTTTCTGATTGGCTAGATCTGCATAATTTGAACCCTGCCGATCTACATGCAGTACAGCAAGAAATTGGTTTATCCTCACCATTCGCCATGGCAACATTACCTGATGTCACTCGTCCAAGTTCTAAAGATAAATAAAATAACAAACATTGTGTTGTGTATTCATCCTTAAAAACAATGATATTCAGGGTCTTATGCGGTAGCTAGGAATATACAAAATTTTATATAAAAAGAAAAAAGAATTCAAATTGAATCGTTAGGGCCACCGAATAATTTCAGTTAAGTAAAGCCCAGCAGTGGTGGGTTCAGAAAATTGCTGAAAAGAGCAACTGTGTCCAACAAGGGGTTTGAACCAAGGGGGTTAACTAGGGCTTCAGTCAGGGTCCTGGAATAAAATTCGTGGTAGAGATCATGGGAAGAGATTTTATGGTTTAGGTTGACCCAAATTGACCTTCCCACTAAGCCCCGCCTTTTTTATATTGTTGCAAAGGACCCACAAACTAGAGTGTAAAAATATAAGCAAACACGTGCATTTGTAGACAACACACCATGTGCTTGTTAGACGCGAGCGTGTTCACGACCCTGTTCTGATTGGTCAGTTGTGAAGTTTGATTGGCACTCTGGAACAGTCCATTGCGCTTTTAGATCATAATTTTATGGACTGCAATCAAATTGACTTTGTTTGGAATGGAAAATTAATATCTTTAGTGCGACAAACTCATTGCAGCGTTGAACTTTTGGACGATGAGGGATCTGTGGTTTTCGGACAGAAATTTCCTCTGAATTCCCCTATGGTGCTTCCACTGAAGTGAAACATACCATACACTATCAGATTTTTTTGTAAAGGTCAACAAAGTTTGTTCAAACAATCAATTTTTTTTACATTTTCCTCAATACATAAAAACATGTATACTGTAATAATGAAAGCCATGCCAAAACCAGCATCAGTGACCAAAACAAAAAAATTTACATTTTAATATATTCATATTCTCCAAATTATATGCTTTAAAGTGATGGGTCATTTACTGGAATCACCCTGCTATTGCCCAAGTTATGAGTAAAAGTATTATTCTCTCTACAAAAGTATGCAGTACTGCCACATTCTATGCTAATTACTCAGTTTAACATTTAGCGACAGTGCGCCGGTTTTGGGGTGGCAAGACCTTAGATAAAATAAAATTAATACGCAGGGGCGGATTTAGGAGACCGCCCCCCCCCCCCCCCACTCCTTTTTTTTTCAAAAAAAAAAAAAAAAAAGAAAAAGAAATAATTGATCGCCCAAAACGCCTCAGAGGTTTTTTCGGACGTCTAGAAAACAAACATTTCGTGGGGCATGTCCCCGGACCCCTAGGGTAGTGTTGTCTGGATCGGCCCCACCTTCGTTCCCCCCTTTTTTTTTTCGAACATCTCTGGATCCGTCCCTGCTACACAAGGGTCTAAGACATGCCGTTACGATTCAAGTTTTAAGTTTATATTGACCAATAGTCTTTATAGTGCTTTTAGTGCAATACTTCGATTGTTGTGCCTGCAAGGCCATTTGTTTTATATGAGAAATTTGGTGTGTTTCTTTTTACCGCATGTTTGTGAAATTATTGAACACTATGTAACTCTTTATTATATTACGATAGATTTCTGTTTTTTTTTTTTAATTCAAAAGTATTTTTGAAAGAAAGAAAATAAATGTTTGTAAATAAACCGATTTTGTTTGTAATGTCTCCTTTTTTTTGCGTATAATAAGCATAATACTTACATATTAGGCCTACTTGATGCTATATTTTAGGCCTACTACTTACCACGTGATTAGCATGCATGTGTTGGCGCTTTTCATCCACTGTCTGTTATGAGCTAAAAATGAAAAAAAAAAAAAAATTCCATATTTAAATTACTTAATTAGTATATATTTAACATAAAATTAAAAACATTGAATGTGAAAACAAATTTTCGACAATTAACGGACTCTGATATAATACCTGCTGTATTGTTTTGCTTTCAATTGACTGCTAATCAATTTAATGGTGTTTGTAGAAAACGCCTGTAGATCATCAGTGAACAATATTCTTTTCTATCTCTTTCTAGTTAAGTTAAAATATAACTTACATGAGCTATTTAAAATTATAATTGAATTTTTAAGGTACTTTCCAATTTTTTGTTTTGTTTTTTTTTCTTTTGTTTTTGTAATTTGGCAGATATTGTATCTGTATTTAAGTGCCAATTATTACTACAACTGCTACGATATGTACTGCTACGTGTACTGCCAGTAAGTACGGTAGCATTACAATTATAGCAATCATGTGCTGCTACCGTACTACTGACAGCGTTGCTACTTTTCCTAATTTTGATACTACTGCTTCAGTTATATTAAGTACTACTATATAATGAATTTCATATCAAAAACTAGCACTGTGTCATCGTTTCTCCTAAAGGACATGTAGAGCAATTGGATGCATACCAGCATAAGTTAATGTTACTGTGAACACGCGATTATTATTTCTGTCGCTGAAAATCGACATGACAAACAAATCACATAATCTGCCATAGTTATTACAAGTTGACATGATAATTGATACTGCGTGAGATGCTTCAGCTAGACCGCGCCGGTCTCTGTCGGAAGCTTGTCCCACCCCGCCACATCGGCAAATCGTGACGTCGCCACTGATCCGTAAATTCCTCAAAAGTGTACACGAGAAAAATTATAATTGTTTACATATTGAAATAATTTTTTATTTAAATATCTATATAAAAAAAAAGTACATACACTCTTGATGCACTCTAGCAAAATTGTGTACTCTTGTGAAAATTAAGATAAATTGAAATGACTCATTTGAAAGATGTTTGTTTACATTGTTTAAACAAAAATGTAGTATAAAGTTGCGGCGCTACGGGGGCACAGAAAGCACCCAAAAAAATAGAAGAAAAACGATGCGGGAGAAAAAAATGTTAGGCCTATTTATTTTCTACATATTATTAGACTATCTACCTATAAAATCGATTAAATAAGCCTCTGAAAAATAAGCCATATTTTTCGGGGCTTCGCCCCCTGGACCCTTTCGGTACATTTTGGAGTTAGAACTGCACCTATATCGTATATGTCTCTGGTCTGGCCGTTAACACTCGCCTTGGTAGCCCTGGCAGCGAGCGACTGCAGATATTCGAATCCAGAAAAGGGAACTTTTTGGTTGTAGAGGTATGCTTAATACGATCACCATAATGTTCAAGATATATATATATATATATATATACTGTCTCTTATACACATCTAGACTGTCTCTTATACACATCTAGATGTGTATAAGAGACAGATATAATATATATTATATATATATAATATAATTTCTATTAATAAATAAATTTCTCGAGTTTTATCGAAGTTTCCTATGTTTGTGTTTATAATTGTAGTTTCTCTCTGATACTGTATTATTAAATTTATGAAGTTCACTTCTGTCCTGAATGCATCATACCAAGCCTATTCACAATTCTAATATCTAAAACAATCAGGAGATTTAGTTTATTTGAGCATCGTTTTATCCTACAATTTGGCGAATCCGAATGTATGGGAGGGAAATGAAGCAGAAGCTAGGCAGCCAAATGACCAACCAGACCGATCAAGCTAATAAGTCAAACATCAAAATCAAGCAACCACCAATAAGAAAGCTTGCCAAAGTTCATGACGTTGTATAAAACATAACCGTATAAGAATTAATATATTCAAATCGAAATCAAAGTTTACAACATTTTTGGTGATTTGATTGTGTTGACAGTAATTATAAAACTTTATAATATTCTTACTTATAAATCTGGTGGTTGAAAGTACATAAATTATTACATGGCTGAACAATCTAAGCAAAATGATACTGTTTAATTATACGGGTAGATAATTGTTGACGCTCATGATTATTCATTACGCAGAGTATCATGTGATGCCAGTAGGTCTGTTGGTAGACGTATGGTTGGTAGTGAAGACGGACCGTTGTTAGATATAGAAATTAGGGAAGACAGTGTAAGAAATGTCAGTTATGGAATACACAAGTGTGAACCAATTTTGACGGCGTCACTTGCCGTGGATTCTTGTTTGGGTATATGGACACACAAGCTTCCAAACACAGAGAATATACACACACGGGTGGTAAGTTTGTGTGCTATTTTAATTATAAAGTATTAGATATCACTGAATACCGTTGCCTTAATATGACGGTATCCGCATACAATTTGCTTCTCATATTAAATTTAGTACTGTTAATTTATTCTTTTATTCTTTATTTAGCCTTTCATAAACGTCAAAATACTATTGGTATATTACCAGAACTGAAATTACTGAAAAGTATTCAAATCTAATGAGGCAATGGGTACAAAAATATAAATGCCAATTAAATGGCAATAATGCGTTTTATAGAGACAAATATTTTTCTTATGGGCATCGTTTCTATTATATTATACTGGTAGTTTTTTTTTCTCTTCTCTTGTTTATCAAACATCTTTCTTAGGCTTAGTGTTAAAAAGGTTAATAAGCCTATGCTGGCAATTTGTAGCCTAAAATAATAGGCCTGGCTGGATGCTCTTGTTATACATTTTAGTATTTCATTTTAGACCCATATAACATTTTAGCATTTAATGTTTATGTAATATTAAATTACATAGTAGTATATTGTTACACTTGTTCGTTTACGTGTGCGCAGTCACCTTGGCAAGACTTCAAAGTTTAAGGTTGCAGGTTGGAGCGTTACTAGATGGCCTGGTAAAAATGAAAAATGGTATAATCTTGAGCAAATAAATTTTAGAAGGCCTAGTTTAAAAAGCCATCCTGTATGAGCCTGCATTCAAATAGAGAGAATGGATACTAGAGACTATAAATATTTCAGGGTACTGCATCGATATTATGGTGTTGTATTGTTAAATTGAATATACTGAATAAAATAAAGAAAATAACAAAAATAATAAACCACTTATGCCAAACAGTAAGTTATTTTACTTTGTACATCATGTGAAATCTATCATATCTGGCAACGTACAAGATATATACCGTAAAACTTCTAATAATAACCCTGGCTTACTTATTTTTTAGGTGAGTTAATATTAGAGTAAGCTTAATGAGGCACTTGGAAATAGTAAACCCCCATCCACCCAAGCTTTTCTCGTTAGCAATTTTATTTCTAAACTCAAAAATACTCTTTCACCCTCATCCTTTTTTAACCTACCACAAACCCTATCCACACGCATTATCTTCTTGTCTTGCAAATAATGCCCTTTGGTGACTCTAATAGTAACCCATAGGTTGTTATTATTAGAGTAGGGGTTATTATTATAGATTCTAGGGTGGGTTATTAATAAGTGAGGGATTACTAATTGAGTAATGGGTTATTATTAGAAGTTTTACGGTAACGGCTCTGCAACTATAAAACGGTTACAAACGACTCAACACATTTTAGAATTTTTTGAGTTGTGTTACAGCGTATAATTCGCGTTTTAGGAAAATAATTAATGTTTTCAAGTAGAAAAGCGAGTATAATTTAAAATACTATTTCCCAACTTTAAGATTCGGATAGATTAAATCTATGACTATTTACAATACAAAATTGATAATATGATGTATCAAATAGTCATGTCGAGTACAAGAGAAATTAAAATTTGAAAGTCCTGTAGCATCTAAACTCTATGAGGCATAAACAAACGTTTCTTTTAGCCACGGATAATGAAGAATATTATGACGGATGCATATGCATCGTTAACGTTCTTATAAGATTGCAAAATCTCCGTATTAACGGATTTCCACAGTCATGGTCTGTTCTTCGAAACAATACGAATACCATCATTTTCCTTCATATCATTAAATGAAGCTGTGATACAATCTGGTGAATGATTTTGACCGGCAGTTTCAGTCAAGGTCGTATATGGTCATATTGTCGAATATTAGTCATTAAATATCAATTTTAGTCAAAAATAAATAAATATGCAATAAATAAAATAATATGATAATATAAATCGAATGAAGCACCAGAGATAATGAAATTCATAGAGCGCCGCCAGCTGACCAAATAAACCATTAAGAATATTATTCCTAGTTTGAGTACTACAATTAAAACTATTAGTTGAGGTATAGGCTAAGCCTTAACGTTACTACGTTATAACTTTACATTTCAAGTAAGCTCTTCTGAGACTCGAACCCTGGACCTCAATTTCGCAATACAAGGCGAACTTCATTATTCTGGAATGCATACATCTAGACTTCACTGAAGTA